TGCTTGTTAATTCATTATTTATTGTATTTACAAACAATACATTCGAAAAAAAAATGTGGATAAGCTTTTATTCAACCTGAGTACAGGCAATAGTCCACACAAATACAGTGTGTAGTGAAAGATAGCCACAGAGAAATTACCACGCATTGTTCATGACGCAAATCTCATACCCGTTTAACATTTGTAAACATACTATTTTTGGAAGTAACTGGAAACGAGGTTACAATACTGGATTGTTGACCTGTAAATGGTGATCACAAATAAAACGCTCTCCAATATCTAACAATAAAATAGTACGTATAATTTTATGTATATATTGTGATATAAATATTGATTATGAATACTTCTAGGATGGATATCTCTATCTATACTCGATATATACCGTGACGATAAATATCGATTTGTCACTAGCAAGTCGTTATAAACATGTTTGTATGTCACTATCCACATATTGTATTTGTTCTCACGCAATTTAAATAAATATGCTTATCTCAAATATTATTTTGTTCCAGGTGTGTGGTACGATTCAAAATGGCCTCAAAAGAAGCGCTTGTTTGCCTTGACGACTATGAAAAATATGCGAAAGACCATATGGAACAGAAACTTTTGGGGTATTTTATTGAAGGTACCGATGCAGAAATTACTCTGAAAGAAAATAGAACTGCATTTTCCAGGTGAGTCAAATAGCTATCAACTGAAGAGGAGTGAACGTGGCAATAATGGTTCGATGTATGTCTTTGATTATAATATGATTAGATTTCAACTTGCCTGTGAAGTCTCTACAAATTACAATTTCTATGATCGCCCATGGTTATGAGGTTATGGCCGAGACACAGTCAGTTGGCACACAAGTAATATTTACTATATGAATGCCGCCATTTTGAATACGGCATGAAACTAAACAAAGTTGTGAAACGCTTTTTTTCAGATTTATACAAATTAGGAAAAAATACCATTCTTTCACAGCCAAAGAATCTGTTGGGGGTAATATTGAGGTAATCGCTAACAAAATCTGGTCGAAATTGTCGTTTTTGTGTTGATGAATCCACTGCATAGGAACACCTAAATACATGAAGAACATAGAGCTCCTTCCCTGGGTATATAAATTGCCATTTAACTGTAAGGCCGTCATCTAACTGTAAGGCCTGAGTTGGAAAGAACATTTTTGGGCCGAGGCAGTCTGTGTGTTACTCAATGTTTGTGTGCTAAAACAACATGTGATTCGAGCGCGATAAATGGGGGGTTTGACACTCATGGACATATTTATTGCGAATAAAGGGGAAGCACTCTGCAAGACTGTCAGGTATAAATAAAGCGAAAGCGAAAGCGAAAGTTCTTTCCTGAATATTTAGTTGCATCCCCACATAGATTTAAAACAATAAATCTGACGGTCTAATCAATGGATTACTTGCAACTTGAAAATAACCACCCAAAACCCAACGTGGAAGAGGCGTCAGTGAATATTGCAATGTTTGGCTGCTGCACAATGTACAAAAATTGCTTTCTTTACAAAACGAACATGGTAATCATAGGATAGTTTACAACCGTCAATAATAGTATACAAATCGAGTTCCTCCTTCCAGGGAGCTGTCTCATTACAGCTCCCTGCTCCTTCCTATCAGGATAAACCTCACAGATGATAGTTTTATAATACCCGAAGGCTGCTAGAAATTTGCTGAGAGTTAAAATTTTACTACACGTATGCCATTGTTTAATTTTTTCGGATTTTAATTCACCTATAAATCAACAATCGACCATGAATCGGATGCCTCATTGGAGATAGCAAAAGACAGCTGATAACACATATACAATATTGTGTACATAGTATGACAATATTCCAAATCGAGTTTTTCGGTTGCGACTGTTGTCTCATGACCAAAACCCTGGGAAGTTTGTCATATTTTGCCATCTCTCGGTGAATACTATTATTGTCGCTATCATTTGTTGTTGCTTGAGTATCACTTGATACCCAGGGCACAGACACAGAACTACTTACGGCTCCAGTTACTGGCGAACTCTCGCTGATAGTTATGTAGTAGCATTCTGTGTAGTTACCAGACCGGGTTTGGAGTTCGACGCAATTCATTGTTGATGTCATATAATTTAAGGAAACTTTTTCTAGCCATAACTGTACAGAAACGCTGCATAATGAAAATAATGTCTTTAAAAACTCGAAGATTCTGGGAAATATGACCAAGATTTTTAACTGCATCCAAATAACACACTTTATGCATAATGAAAGCACTTGGTGACCCTGCGTATTATTAATCATGCAAACAATTAGTATTACGTCACAAATGGTGCTTAACATTACACATTAACCAAGCATAAACGCGAATTGTATTGATGAATGATGCAAATGAGGTCAATGCAGGATGTGAATGCAGCTGCTAGGCGTTGCAAATGTGATGAATCCGCAAATGGTTGTGTGCAACAGTTTAGTTGAACGATGTGCTTCAATAATACTGATTACTAGTATAGTGAAAGTCAGAAAACTGTTACTTAGTTTACAAACATATGTATTACAATTTTTAGTTATCATCTGTTTCATTAAAATTCAAATATTTAATAATGACTGGCTCGAGAGTTTCACACTCTCCACGCCCATAATTTGCGCACAAGCCTTAAAATGACATAGCAACCGCAAATGATCTCTCATTCAAAACGAAGAGCATGCTGATTGGATGACGTTGAACTAGTTCATTATTACTAATTATCAGTTTGAATTCTACCTGTCATTTCGATTTAGACAGATTTATAGAGATGTTACATAGATGTATTCATAATAGTGCATTACAACTACTTTATTAATTGTCTTCTCTCAAAGGTTAAAAATACTACCAAGAATCTTAAAGGATGTTTCCAATGTAGACCTCTCAACATCTATTCTTGGTCAACATTTGGATTTTCCAGTGTGCATCGCACCAAGTGCTTTCCATAAACTCGTGTCGCCTGGCGGAGAACTGGACACAGCCAACGGTAAAAGATAATGTTATCAATTATTTTGAAAGCAATTCACAGTAAAATGATAAACAAGAATTGTCATCCATTGACAGATTATGTGTGACACGTTAGATGATTCTCGCTTCCACAATACATGCAATTGTGCAATCAATTATATATATATACATCTGTTCTATTTTTATAGAAGAACCTTCCCAAATAAAAGAAATTCTAAAATTTAAAAACATAAGAAGCAGTCACTAAACCATGTACGTTCACACTCAAGCAAGAGAATAGACATGTTGGTGAACTATCCTTGCACTGTGAGTTTTATTGCTTGCAGTCTATAAAATACTATTTTTTTCACAAATAGAAAAATTTAAAACAAATGAACTCACTTCTTTGAGTGGGCCAGCCAAGTTTCCACATACAAAAATACACATAATATTTCTATTTAGTTTATTTTGTTTTATAATATTATCACTGAATTCTTTAAAATAAATTTACCATTTACAAATTAATGTGTTGGACACTATATAATCATAATATTTTACAATCCATATCCTTATATTTGAATCTGTTTCAAGACATTTGAAAAAAATATTTTAGAAGAATAACAATACAACGACTAGATTTGGTGTCACAGTTTGCTCCCAATTCATATTGGAATATTGCCAGCAATAATTAATAAAGCTTGTTCAGAATACCATTTATTCCCGACATCATATTCAATGGCTAGTTCTCATGATCTACAACAGTAAATAAATAAACAGAAATCATTTTGATGCGTGGTTTTTAGATGACACTGCCATATCGCACAGATATTCAACACCACCATATCGAATTTGGATTTGGACCATACCATTTCAAGCTGCAGGGTGTTTAAACAATGACTCAACAAACAATAAAAACATCTCCCACCCACCACACAAATTTTAGCCACAATTGAACAACCAAGAAAGCAACAAATATCAGGCTGCATCTTGAAAACAACGAGATACCACATTACAACCAGTCATTACAAACATGAAATCCTCCACCCCTCCCAGTACACCCTACAGCATTAATGGTTCCTATACTCATTTGCATCTATGTACAACAAGCTTAGCCAATATATGCACCTGACTCATCAAACTTTTGACCAACCACTCATTCTAAATATTGTTGAGTGAGGGCGCTATTTACTAATGAGAGGAATCTTTTAAAAGAATTAAACAGATAAAGTATTAATTACATTTATTGCATCATTGCAATATTTAATCACGCGTTAATAGATGAATCAATATGTTTACATGTAATACATGCATTGTATGTTAATTTATGTGTTCCGTGTCAAGAGATCATTTATTATATATACTTGTATAGCTGCTAATGCGATGGGTACTTGTATGGTACTCAGCAATTTGACGACGACTTCCCTGGAAAAAGTAGCTTCTCTCTACCATGACTCTTTGAAATGGTTTCAGTTGTACATCTGGGAATGTAGGGAGTTCACTGTAAACCTGATAAGAAGAGCTGAAACGGCTGGATTCAAATCTTTGGTAGTGACTGTTGATTCTTCGGTAAAAGGGAATAGAAGAGGGCCTAGGTTTACGTTTCCACCAAATATAGAAGCTGTACATTTACCACAAGGATTTAAGGTAAGAATAATTACCATATCGTATATTCATAGACACTAGAAAGAAGATGGACGCAATACAGCGATCAACTTTCTAATTCTAATTCGCGCCATGGGTTCGATTTACGCAAACGTGTGGTTCCTTGCCTTTCTTGCCTTTCTTACTTTCTTTCTGTGTGCCACTGTTTTCTCAATAGTTCGTTTAACATTCTCCATTTTTGGTTTCACACCAGGCATTCAGTCTGCAGTTAGAGCTGCTATAATAGGCGTATCATTTTCAAGTTATTTGCAACTAGCTTATTATTCATTGAAAATGTCTGAATATATTTATGATACAGGATGTTTTATATTTTATAAGGAAAATAAAAATAATTTATAACTAGACATCAAAGAGAACAAATCATATAAGACTATAACATTGTTTTATTTTCAATGAAAATACACAAGAAAGTTAATTTTGCAGATTATTGATGGCGTATTTATGAATTATTCGGAAATATATGTGGTCAAATACGATTGTACCTGGTTGCTTGGATTTATCGTCTTTAGTTGTGTAATATCTGGCTTCTTTGGCACATGCTGTAGATTAGAATAACATATTTTTAAAAAGTATAATTGAATCGATTTGAAATATCTCATCACCACGTGTTATGTGTGTGTGAGAAAAAAACTTGATTTTAACAATACAACTCCATGAACATTTTATTGCAGTTATTATCTCATTCATTATGATTATTTTACTATCTTTTTGTTTTACTCCTATTGATAACAAACAATGATCTGTAGTTATCCATGCCTGTAGAAATGGTGATATGTAGCATCAAAACATCACAGTTTCATGACCATCTCATTTCTGTCTATGGTTTATTTAAAGCTATAATCGACAAATATTTGTAACTCGTGACCACTTTGTAAAACCCTAATTCAGTTGATTAAAATAACTGTCACATTACACTCCAGATACTATTCTCAAGGAGTGTATTCAATACTCATTTGATGACGTAAGTACAATAGTATATACTTCAATAGTGTTTATAGTGAAGTACATTTATATGTTTTACTACTCATTCAGGTGAGATCAGGTAGAAGTCCATGCAGTTTAGCAGACCCTACATTAACCTGGGAATTCATTGCATGGATGAGATCAGTTACCAAACTACCGATAGTACTGAAAGGGATTCTCAGCCCAGAAGATGCACTTCTTGCCGTGGAACACAAAGTAGATGCTATCATTGTATCAAATCATGGAGGACGACAATTAGATACAGTTCCAGCAACGGTGTGTGCAAAAATTAGGACATGCTAGCAATTCGTATATGCTTATTCGATGGTCTATTGTAGTGCA